AGCGTCCCTTGCCCCAGTCTAAGTGACAGCAGGGGGGACCGTCATCCGTCTCCGGCCTGCGGGTGTCTACACCACAGCTGGTACCTGGTTTCGCGTGAACAGAGACCCTTCGTAGAGCGAGCGTCAGAGTTCGGGAGTCAGACTGGGTTCTGAGTAAGCGCCTGCCACATCCTCACCGTGCCACCTCGGCTGAGTCACCTCACTTCTCTGAGCCTGCACTGCTCATCTGTGGAACGGGTGCATTGTGGTGGGGCCTAGGAAAGCGGGTGCATGTGACGCTCCCAGGACAGACCTGCAGTCTGGGGGAGAAATACGAAATGCCTGCAGGGCACAGGTGCGGGAGAAGGACACCAAGGAGGTCCCCTGGGTGGGGGGGATGGTTTCAGGATTATCCACAATATGCTTACTAGGTATATACGCTTCCTACTGGTAGGCATGCTAAGATGGGCATTGTCCATTTAAGACTCGAATTGTTTGCCCCCTTGAAAATATTTTAAAGCATTTTTTGACATAATTTCCAGAGTTACAGAAAAATCATAAGAATGGTACAAAGAGTTTCTATATACTGTTCACCCAAATTCCCCAAGTCTCAGTATTTTACATCATTGGCTGTATTCTCTCTCTCTCTCTCTCTCTCTCTCTCTCTCTCTCTCTCTCTCACACACTTTTTCCAAGTAGTTTGGGAGTGGCTGGCACAATGCCACTTATCCCTAAATATTTCCGTATATGTTATAGTTCCCAAAGACAAGAGTCTTCTCTTACATATCTGCAGTGTAATTATCAGAATTGGGAAATTAACAGAGACACAATTCTGTCGCCTAATCGAGAGGCCTAATTCAGATGTCACCCAATGATGTCCTTTACCGCAAATGACAGTCCCAGGTCACGTGCTGCATGCAGTCATCATGCCTCTTTAGCCTCCACTGACGTTTTTGAAGACTATAGGTCGGTTATCTTGTAGAATGTCCCTTGGTTCGGGTTTGTCTGATGCATCCCCGTGGGGAGGTGGAGGTTATGCATCACTTACAGGCACCTCAGAGTTGTGCCCTCAGGGCATCACCTCAGGCCCAGGCTGCCAGCTCCCTCATCACTGCTGCTGTTAATGTCACCCACTTGGGGACGGTGGCGACTGCCAGGTCTCCTGCCCCGCTGTGCAGTTACTGTCTTTCTCTTTGCAGTTAGGAGCCATTTTATGGGGAGGTGCTTTGAGANACCAAGCTTTCCTTATGGGATAGCGACGTTCGTCTGGTACAGAGACCTCTCAAACTGTCCTGTCTTCTTCTCTTTGCTTGCCTTGGAAGCTTTTTGATTTAGTGTACAGAGAAGAGACCCTGCTCAATGTCATTAAGAGCGTCACCCGCAACGGGCGGTCCATCATCCTGACGGCAGTCCTGGCTCTGATCCTGGTGTACCTGTTCTCCATCGTGGGCTATCTCTTCTTCAAGGACGACTTCATCCTGGAAGTGGACCGGCTGCCCAATGAAACAGCTCTTCCAGGTGGGCCTGGGGCCATCTCACCTCCTTAATGTTGAAAGAACGTTTCCTGGTGACGATGGAGCTGAAGGCGATCATGCCTTCGCGGCGTAGGCATCTCCCTCACACCAGATACGAGCGGCCTGAACGCGAGGCCGTGGTTCGCCAGGCTATGGGCCACCCACGGGTGCCCCTCACGTACGGTGCACCTTTATAAAGCCCCATGGGAAATGCCCACAAGATAAGGCGGGAAACTGCAGAATAGCCACAGCAGGACCCATGTATGGTTTTTTAAAATGAAAAAGTTCACATATGTCTCTAAGAATATGGAGGAATGTACCCAGACTGCTGGCAGTGGCTATCCTGGGGGCTTTCTGACTATATGCAGGCTTTACGGTGGGTTTGTATTATGTTTGTGTAAAGCAAGAACAGAGGAGATGGCCAATCTTAAGAAGGAAAAAAAAAATCATACTTGAGTGGTATCCACGTGCTCTTTTCCCTCAATTAAAATATCTGACACTGGTCAGTGAAATGTTACTGGCTTTTCATCAGGTCGCCAGGCACCCTGAGTCCATTGAACACGCTTTTGAGACTAGGGCAGGCGGCCTTTGGTCCCTCCCAGCGCGCCACTGCAGCCTCCAGGCTGACATGGAATGGCGTTAGCGCCACCCATCCCAGGGCCTGAACCAAGCCAGTCCGGCCCTTCAATGCGCGCTAATGCCTCCGATGCGTCTGCAAAGTCGGTGCCAACCTTGGTGGAGTCTGCACGTTCAGCCGTGTCTGTCAGTTTCAGCTGTTTAAAGTTGGAGGGGTGCTATTTAAGGGCGATGTTCCCAGTGAGCCTCCAGGAATTGACACTTGTGGCTTCCCTCCCATCAGAGATCACCAAACGAAAGTATAAACCGCATCTCTGCTTAGGATGCATGTGCAGGATTGTAGGGTGTTATTTATGTAAAGAATTGTTTAATCAGCCGTGAATCGGGGACTTCAAACATTTGAGCCATCTGCTCGCAGACTGTGCATCATGAAATGTCCTTCTCTCTCCCAGAAGCCGGCGAGAGCTTGGCAAGCGAGTTCCTGTACTCGGACGTGTGCAGGGTGGATACGGGGGAGAACTGCTCCTCTCCTGCTCCCNCATAGCATCTGGGGGAGCTGGACAGGAAGCCACCCAGGCAGCCATTAGGAGCCCAGGTGGTGCACGGTCACGCTCCGTTTACTGTTCACGACAGACGTGCCGGATCAGGAGATGTGTACCTGTGTTTGTCTTGATTTCTTGGGCTCAGCCAGCGCTTACCAGGGAGAGTGTTTTTGAGACTATTGCATTCTTACAGTTCCCCTGGACTCTGTTTCCCAGTGAAAACATGGAGTGACAGTAGGAACAGGAGCTACTGCCAAAATCCCAAGACCTGTGACAAGGAGCTCGACAGATTTCCTGGTCCAGGAGACCTTTTCGGTAGATTGTGTTCCAATATGAGCCAAGTGATTAGTGTCTTGATAGTCTATAAACGAGTTGGGTCGGTCACCTTCCTCCTGAGCAGTAATTTTTATTAATTTTTAAATTATAGACCAAATCCCTGTGTGTCTCCTGTCATTCGAGGGACTCTAGACCTGCAGAAACCATTTCCTCGTACTACATCAGATGACAGGAAGCATAACATGGGCTCATCTGCAAGCAAAGCCGTCCCTCAAGGGACGAGAAGTATTAAAATGTGAGGATTGAAAACATGAGCAAAGTCTTAAGACGAGAGACTTACGGAAGGCAGAGAAGGAAAGCTCGTTGCGGGGTGCTCTCCATGTGGTCTCTGGGCTGCTTACTTCACTTCTCTGAGCCTCAGTTTCCCCAAATACAAAATGAGGAGAACGCTGTGTGTCCCCGACAGGGCTGTCGTAGGGATTGTGTGCTGCTGTGTAGGCCAGGATCTCGGAATGACACTGCCACACAGCACATGCTTAGCGGCTGAGAGCTAGCCCTGTTGTCTTTGTCATCCCATACAAACCCCGCCGGAAGGCACCGTTCAGGTCAGCTGGGACGTTGGCAGGCTAAGGCAAGTGGACTTGGAGGTTTCAGGCAAAAAAGTCTCTGGACACACCTGGGATCGCTATCTATGTGGCCTCTTTTGGTCACTCGATCCGAAACCTTGGGGCTCTGTGGATGTTTCTGAGCCTTTCTGCAGTAATGTCCCTGGATTGGGTTCCGCTTTGTGAGTCAGGGAGACGCGAGTCTACAGTCCGACACAGTCCCGCCTGCTCTTGGCAGGAGGCACAGTCCAGGCGGCAGCCTCTCCCAAGAGACAGTAGGGTCCCCTTCAGACAGTGCCATCTCCCTGGGAGAGCCCGCCCTTTCCCACAGTCTCCATCCAGCTGGCTTCATTTCCTTTTCTGTTCATTCATGTTGCCTTCCTTGGGCCGTTAGCAAAGCCAGCCAGTGCCAGCTAACTACTGGGGGGGGGGGGGCTGCCACAGTGAGGCAGGCCAGTATCGTCCCTGCCCTTGCGGGCCTCCCGGCCCTGAAGATAAGTTACTCACGTGATTGAGTGTTTGTTCACTGTGTGCTGTTTCATGCCCGCTCTCCAGCCACCTCTGAGGTAGATGATATCTGCACATGACAGGTGGTGGAACCGGGGCGTGGCAAGGTTAGGGAGCCTGCCCCAGTCACGCAGAGACGGGTGGCAGCTCCGCTCTGCTGACGCCCGGCTCTGCATTCTGACCGCCTTTCACCTGAGCTTGTGAAAAGGCCCCCGCGTCAGACAACTGGGATTCCCCGTCGCAGTTTGCTCTCGGACCTCATCTGTCACAGCGACAGGAGTGGCTGGCTCCTCGGGGCTTCCGACGGCATTACCAGAGCGCTACTCACTTTTAGAAAACTTAATAGGATCAAACTAGACTGTGGCTGGACACCTCATATGCGCATCTGGGGTTTTCTCAGCTGTCTGGGCCTTAACTTGTCTGCGACCTCAAGTGATGTGTTTCTCTTGGTGTCAAATGCGGTATTTACCGTGTCTGCTGAGAACCACAGACAAAATACTGAAATCATTCAAATTGTTACACAAATAAGGAAAGTCTGTGGCAGAAGGGACT